TGAAAGGTTCCAGGGAGTACCACCAGTTCCCAGAGCTGACCTCCTTCAGGCCACTAACTGGGACTTATTCTCATAGCAGGTGTGGGGACCGTGCCATGCTAAAGCCACTGGTATCATGACTATTGCTGGTTTATATCCAAGTTATGGTGGCCTGAAGCTCCCTTTAAATGAGCAGCCATGTGAGGGGTTCTCCGAATTACCAGACTGTACCACGGGACCCGAAGGGGAGGGCAAGGCTGCACTCAGAAGGAAGCTCAGTCTTCACTTGGCAGGAACTGAGGAGTGGAGCACAGCACCCAGCCTGGGCCTTGTGTGTTCTGGGTCTTGTGTGTCCTGCTGGATGTGTGTCAGTCAGGATCCTGTGTGTCACACACTGCCGCAAGTGGGAACACATGGCCAGTGTTGCATTCTTGCCGGACACTCGTCTTCCCATCGCCTTCTCTGAGGACAGAACTGAGAAGCCCTCCCTGTGTGGCTCCTCCCTTCCATCTTGATGATCCAGGGTGAGGGATTCCTGGTAGACCTCAGGGTGCTGTCACCAGCATGAAATACTCACCATGCTACTTCCTCTCCAAAACTTAGAAACTACCTACCTGCAACACTCATTGTCGCTTGGGAACTGTTCCAAAGCTTTGGCTCAGCAGAAAATCTAGAGAAGCAGGCTGTTTTTTTTTTTTTTTTACTGTGTGACACTGAGGATGAGCAATGTCCCCAGACGAGGAAGGACACCAGACAAACCCATCGCTCAGGGCCCAGAGCCCCTGCAGGCCAGACTGGTGTCCCCACAGGCTCACCTTCCAGCAGGTGGCCTTGCCCATAGGGACAAGCGAAGCAGCAGACCCACAGGGCATCTCAGCACTCTGGGAAACCCCGTGCTTCTGCCTGAATTGTCCTACCCTGACCTCGTCCTCCCTTGGACACTCCCCTGGGGCCTTTCACACCTGCCCTCCCAAACTGCATACTCATCTTCATTCATAATGCATGAGTCCCTCAGGATGCAGGCCACAGCCTTTGTTTAAAATTAAAGTACACAGGAAAATATTAAAAACCTGAAGAAAACCTAAAGCATAGAAGTATGGAGAAGATAGAAAACAGACTTGATACACACAAGTAATGATTTTTTTTTTTTTTTTTTTGTACTGGGGATCGAACTCATGACCGTGTGCTCGCCAGCAGCACCTGGCAGGTGTTTATGCCACTGAGCTAAATCCCCAGCGATATTTTTGTGTTAAGGTTGGGAAGTTTTATGTTTTTTCATTAGTGACCCTTTTTGGACAGTATAATTTTACTCATTATGCTACAGCAAACAGAAACACGGAAAGGACACCCAGGATTTGGAGGCAGATTTATTTTACTCTGATGGGCACTGATTGAGATCATTCACAAAATATCGGACTTTGAAGTCTCAAGGAGAGAGGTCTTTATGGAGTTGAAAGGAGGAGTACAGAGGCAGAATACGTGGCGGTCTGTGATTGGTTCTTATGGGATGCATCACAGTGAACAGCTGTGCATCACAGGGACCGGCTGTTTCTAGGAAACGGAAGTAACAGGAACTGTTACCTGGGCAACTCACAGGAACTGAACTACATTGGCTGGGGGCAGGGAAGGCATTTTCTGCTACAATTGTTGGCTACCTGGGTTTTGTTGACTGTGAATAAGCCCGACTGGCTTTTCATCAGGTTTACTGAAAGCTTTTTCCAGTCGTGCAGTTGTGGCAAAGCACGTCTGTCATTGTGACCCATGCAAAGGTCATGAAATGGGCAGGCCACACAGTGAGGGGTGTCTGTGTGCTGCTTCGTAGCACTGACCTACGAGCTTCCAGGTTCATAAAGATGTACTCACGCAGGCACTCTTGAATCTTGGTGTAGAGTCTGTGATGGGACTTGCTTAACTCTGTTCTTTACCACATTCACATTGCCTGGATCTCACATAAGTACAGACCACAGTGCCCAGTGGAGACACCCGGCACTCAGCACTGCAGGGCTACAGAAATAGAGGACTAGTTATTCTATAAAACGACTTGGAGACTGCCAAAGCCCATGCTCTTGGGATACTTCTGCTCATAGGGTTGCCCCTCGATATGTATCTCACTCAGGAAGGAAACAGGAATCTTAAGAGGGCAGGGTCTGTTATTCCAACCCCCTGGTGGCATCTGGAGCAGTGAGAAGTACAGAGTATGTTTCTCCATGGGTGCCAGAAGTTAATAGTCTTGATCACAATTCAGCTTTGGCTTTCTACTAAGATGATGGCAACTTGGGCATTTCTATGTCTCTGTGTCTCTGTGTGTCTGTCTGTCTCTCTGCCCCCCACCCCATCCTCTCAGTTCAGTTTAGGAAGAACCCAATTTTCCCACTAAAGTTCTGACCAAGCCTATATACCTTGATCTGAGATTTCAGGGCCAGGAAGACCTCTGCATCCCACAGTTCCCAGGAACTAGTGGGACCAATTCTGAGTTAAAAGTCAGAAAAACACACTCCCTACCTGTCCCTGGAAGGCATCTCATCTCTAGTGACAGACTTCCCTTCCCAGCTTACATCCCTCTGCAGACGAGATGATGATCAGATAGAAAAGGACTTGCATTCTGGAGGAGAGCAGTGGGAATGACCAGGTGAACTGCTCAGCCCCACAGAGCCAGTGAGTTTGGGTCAGGGAAGCACCAATGTCCCTGGTGGTCCTGATAGAATTAGACATGGTGTTTTCTTATCTACATCTTTTTATTCATTTCTCACCGCATTGCTTTTTTGTACATTTAACACAATGCATGCAAGACCAAGGAGCCCCCGATTCACAGATTCTAGGTCAGTGTCAGGGGCTTTGAAGCTCTGCGCCTGGACTCATTAAGCCCACACACTCATGGCCCTCTGTCTGTAGACTGCTCCCTGCCCCTCAGCGCTGTGGGCCACCCTGTGTGTCCTGGGTGGCTGGCAGGGGCCCACAGATGCCACCTTGACTAGTGTGAAGACAGTGCACACTCTTCCTGTGTCACCAGTGGTTGCTCTGAGAGCCATGACACTTGTACCTGTCGGAGTCCACAGTCAGTCAGAGTCTCCATCCTGCTGTCCAGCCACACTGGGACTGGGACGCTTAGATTTCAGCTCAGAACAAAGGATCTTGCCTGATTTCCTCCCTGAGGCTGGCTGCAGAACAGGTAAAGTATGAGTGGGCAGAACCTCATGACCAGAACCTCCCGCCCCAGCCGTAGACGCTGGCAGAGAGACTTCAGTATCATTGGTATGTGTTTTTTGCTGCAACTAAAAATAACACTCGGGAAAGACTGATTTAATGTTTCATATTTCAGGAGGAATTCACACTTTCAGCATAAATCTCCCTTATTGCATCATGGAGTCCTACATTTCTGTGTACTGTGGCCTGGTGTTTCTTAACGAATGTGTGCTATTTTCTAACTGAAGATACCATGCTGCCTTCCCTCACTGGGGGAACCATGGTTTAATTAGCAGCCCAAACCAACCAGGGCAGCCCCCAGTAAGTCCGCTTATCACACAGCTATGAGCTGAAGCCTTTCTTAATGCTGCCCAGTAAGGAGAATTACCTGCTAAATGGCCCTTTTCCCAAACGCTTGTGCCTTACCTGCCTGTGAATCTCTCAGGGCCAGTGGCACTGTGCCCGCTGTACCCTGCCACCTGGCTGCTGCCCCTCCCTCCTGGGTTCTCAGGCTCTGGGCCCTTCACCCTCCCTCCTGCTTCCTATCTCTGATGTTCAGTCTGGCACTGGCCCCAGTCAAGCTATCACTCAACTTCTGGAAGTTTCTGAAAGGTTTCTGACTCAGCACATCTTTCTGACATGAACTTTGCAGATCTGCTTGTTTTCTGCTTACTGGGAGAAGTCTGGAGAGCTTTGGGCTCTTCAGAGGGACTGGCTGAGAGCTTCCTTGGTAGAACCCTAAGTCTAATTTAGCAGAGTAAGCTTCTTACCACCCATATTGTCTGAACTCCAGGCAGGTGTTCTAAGGCTAGTGGGGCCTCCAAGGCTTAGAAGACCTTCTAAACTTGTCTAGGCAGACCCTTGGAATCCACTCTGAGGAGGAGCAACCCTCAAAGACCCCCCTGAAGCCTGGCAGCGCTCAGTGGCAGTGCTCACCTCCTCTTTTTAATGTGTATCTTTCTTCCCTTTCTGTCAAACTCTTCTAAGGTCTTCCTTGTGTTTAACAGAATGCAAATAATGAAAATCTAAACTTATCATTACCGCCTTGAAGATTTACATCTGCATAGACTAGAAGAGAAATTCCCCCATCACCAGGAGCTCCTCTTCCTGGTGGCTGCCCTGATGGATGTCAGTGTCCTGGCCACCCCGGCCCAAGGGCTGTGCTGTTTCCTGAGGGCCAGGCAGTGAAGGTGTGATGGTGCACTGAGGAGAGGAAGGGCCTCAGAGCGAGCTAGTGACTCTCAAGTTATCCTGAATCTGGGGTGGGGGGATGGTCTCAGATGTGAGGGATTCAGGGAATCCCCAGTGGGGGTCAAAGGAAGGGAAGAGCCCTGTCATTTAGCAGCACCTTCCTTGTAAAGCACATTATGGGATATTAAGCTTGCATTGCTGACTTGCTCCTAAGAGACAGAGCTGCCTCCCATCTTCTGGAGCTGTGGTTCCAGGAGGGGACCAGAGCATGGCCCATCAGCCTCTGAGCACGGTCCACCAGGACAGAGCTTCAGAGGGCCACTTCTGGTGAGATCCTGAAGCATTTCCTGCACATAGCCTCCACCTTAGTTGGGATTGCACCCTTGGCACTGCTGTGCGACCTGTGAGACACTGGTGCCTGTGACTCTTCACCTTTCCCAGGGACTCAGTGAATATCAGACATTGCACTTCATCACGCCTGCGATTCCAAAATCAACGTCCGCGTTTGGCAGTGAGCCTAGAAGCTGGTTAATATTGAGGCATCCCAGCACACTGATTTCCAGATACTAAAACATCATCTTTCTCCAAATAGAGAGAATAATACTTTGTGATTTGTGTGAGTGATGAAAAGTTGTGGTTTTTTCCAGGTTGTCCCGGGGCCAAAAAACATGAGTTTCTGACAAGTGTGTTGGATGCGCTGTCCACAGACATGGTCCACGCTGTCTCTGACCCGTCCTCGGCATCCAGCAGGTAGGCTGCTCTCAGCTGAAACCTCAGGGACCTGGGAAGTTTCCAGTCAGCCTGAGTGTTAGATATTCGAGACTAGGCAGTTTACTTGAATGTGACAGGGCTGGAGGGAAAAAGCCCTCTCCAAGACCCCCAGTGGAATTGCCAGTCTCTCAAGCATCACATGTTCCCTTTCAGAATTAGCAATAATATATATATGTGTTACAAGACATTTTTTTGGTAGACTTTTTAACATTCCCAGCTCCTTAACACTGTAGTCTTTCAGCCTTTGGCCTCTGGACCTCCTGACTGCCCCATCCACAGTGCTCTAAAGCTTTAGGTTCCTTAGCAAAAGATCTTGATCTTGCTGTGTTTGCTAAAGATGACTTGGTATAAAATGACAATGCTAGTGAAAAATGCCTCTACAGATGAATAAATTAAAATAGGGAAGCATCAGCTCGATCTCAACTTTTTGTTGCACATTTTTGGAAAGATGGTTCCTGCATGAAAACAGGAATTGGAAGGAGTAAGGGAACTATCACATGAGCAGCAGCTCAGCACAAGGAAAACCAGGCAGTGGTGCTGAGTGCCCTGCTCCTGTAGCCCGTCCACGCCTCACTCACTTCTGGGAGGGCAGAGGTCAACAAACAGGGCAACATGGATTCAGGGCCAGTGGGAAGGGGCTGGATGCACACCCTTTGAGGTGGCAGAATGGTGCAGTTACTGGCTGGTGCAACTTTAAGGTCTGACCCAAAGCCAGCCATGCTAGGCAGATCTTACTGATTCATTTCTTTTTCTTTTTCTTTTTTTTTTATTTAAAGGAGGAAAAAAACCAGTATAAGGGTACAAGTCATACAGAATTTCAAAAAAAAAAAAGCCAGTAAGAAATCACAAGTTAATAGATTACGTATTGTCATCTTAGAAATAGTTGTTCAAGTTATAGGATTAAAGCATACAAAGTGGACATTCAAACAGTGAGACTGCAGACAGCTGTGTTCAATGATCCAACAAAAACTTAGGAATATGGTCATCTATCTTAACACACCTAAACACACTTGCAGTTGTATCCTTTAGAGAACTTTTTTTCCTCTTTTGAATCTTATTGCCTTCAAAGTAGTTGCCTATACCCTCAAACTTAATACTATCAAACAGAACAAAACAGAGTAAAATCAGTTAAAACAAGATGGTGGGAGCAATACAGGGCTTCAAATCAAGTTAATAGGAAATCAAAAAAGTTACTATAATATATCCTGCTAATTTTTTTTTATTTTTCCCTTAATTAAATAATAGTAAAAATAAATACATTTTTTTAAAAGGGAGAGACTGAGCTAAAAGAGGACATAACAACATAACAATACAGGTCAAAGCATAACAAAGCATAACCAGCTTCTAGGCTCACTGCCAAACCTAGTGCTTCACCACAAGATAACCCGACTTAATAGTAGTTACCATAGAGTCTCTTTCCTTGAAATATTTGAGTATAGCTTTATATACTATGGCTTCAAACATACTGATTCATTTCTTAAACTGTCAAACTTTATCTGTACTCTAAGAGAAACTGTCTAGTTACAACTTCAGATTTCTTTCCATTTCCCTCTTTCCATATATGTACTTTTATGTGGATATCACACACCTGTGAGTATATGATTACATGGAGAGGCAGAAACCCTTGGCTCTGGGTCACAGTGCATGGCATCAGGATGGGGGCTTTTGTGCTTAAGAAGGTGGCTGAGGCACAGCCATTGTGCATGCACTCACAGCAACACTGTGATCCTAAAGCCCACCAGAAAACCTGCTCAGCCACTTCTTTAGCTGTGTTAGTGTCTGCTGGGAGGACGCTGAGTAGCAGAGCAGGGCTCTCAAGCAAACAGCTGCAGCTTTGTTAGGTTCTGACCCAGTCCTGCCTTTCTAGGCTCTCGGAACCAGATCCCAGCCACACCCTGGAGGAGAGGGTGGTGCACTGGTACTTCAGACTGCTCGACAAAAATGGCAGTGGAGACATTGGCAAGAAGGAGATCAAACCCTTCAAGAGATTCCTCCGGAAGAAATCCAAGCCCAAAAAATGCGTGAAGAAGTTTGTGGAGTACTGTGATGCCAACAGCGACCACTCGCTATCTGTGAGAGAGCTGATGGGCTGCCTGGGCGTGGCCCAGGAGGAGGGCACTGCCAGCACCAGGAAGCGCCACAGTAAGCTCCTGTCCTCCTAACTGTGTGCCTTCTGCTCTTGGTGTCCTTGTGGTTTTCTTCCAAGGTTTCAGAGATGCATTACATCGGAGGGTGCAGGAGACATGAGACCTATCCTTTGATTGTTGGCCGTCAGTTACAGATGGCCCTTAGGATTAACAGTAGGCCATCATGGACTGACACCTGGTATCTTAGTTACTTTTCTCATTGCTGGGACAAAATATCTAACACTCAATCTTAAAGGAGAGAAGGTTTATTTAGCTCACAGTTTGTGGAGGTTTTAGTCCATAAAATCAGCTGGCAGCAAGGCAGGATGGCAACAGTCCCTGGTGCTAGAAGACAGCAAAAGCAACAAGAGACAGAGACAGGGCACAAGCTTCTTTGTGTCACTTATATTATATGCAGGCTGCCCATCTAAGGGTGGGTGTAGCACTCCCACCTTTAACTCCAGCACTGCACTATGAATCAACCACACACTCTAGATTCAGCCACCTCCGAAAAAGTTCTATGATCTCATGAGGCTTTGGGGGGGTGGGGATATTCAGACACAAACCATAGCGCCTGGTCAGGAGCACAAGGTGTTGAAAGGGCAGGAGTCCAGCAGAGCTCTGAAGCTGGGCCTCTGGGTGCTTCATTTCCATTGGTCAACTTTCCAAATGTGTTTTGCTTCTGATTCTGGGAACTGTTGGAAATAAGTCACCAACCCTGTCATGGACTCCAGTCAGTTACCTGGATAATTCCGTTATCCAGACCAGCCATGCCACTGGATTTGATTCTTAGCAGTTGACTATTGCCCTGTGTGAGCTTGACTCAACTAGCCAGTGGCTCCAGGAGCAGAGAAAATCCTAGGTAGGGCATATGGAGTCCAGAGACTGAGAGCCTGGCAGACACCTCGCACTGCTGACGGGTGGCTCTGGTTCTGTGATCAGCTCCCTGGGTAAGGCTACGGAGGCAAGGCCCGGATGCAGCATGCATGTTCTGGAGCCTGCACTCCAGAGCACAGCTGCGGTATGTTCTCTGTGCCCTCTCATGTGTGAACCTTCCCTGAGAAGTGGGTGTCTCTGAACTGAGCTGGGCTGTGGCTCCTGTGAGGTCACAATGACTCACTGATGTTGGCCCTGTTATTGTCCCTGTCCCTCAAACTTGCTGAGACTGTCGCTCAATGTGATACAAACAAATTAGACTGGGGCTGAAATCCTTGGCCATGACGCACTTCTTGGCAGCCTCCCTGTGAGAAGCTGGCTTTTAAAAGATGGAGTCTCCCCGTGAAGTTTGTCGTGGTCTCTTTGTGATGTGCTGTCTGGTGTGACAGAGCCGATGGCAGTGGGGACTGAGAGACTCTATCACAAGCAAGAGGCGAGCATGCAGTGAACACAGAACTTCACTCCTGTCGAGGAGTAGGAAAGTCCAAACCACTGTAGGATGCTGAGCTGTCCCCATGAGGCCACTGTCACTAAACAGATGTCTGCACTTTATCGTCTCATTTGTAACCAAAAACAAAAACCAAATCGGATCCCGTTCCCCTCTCAACCTAAATAAGCTAATGTTTGGAAAAACTGGAAATTTGGCTAGACAAAGGAGCAGTGAGGATCTGGATACCCATTACACTGGTATTTCAACATTTTCATTTCCTTTGTAGGATTTCTCAAACTTTTTTCCTACATTTTTATTTCTCAATTTTATGATCAGTTATTTTTTCCTACCTCGTATAACTTGAAATATTTGAAAGTCAGTGAAACCTAAATATTCAGGAATAGATAAGTTTTGACATACAAAATATCCAAATTATTATCAGTTTCTTTTGTTTCTTATATTTTTGCCAATTTTCTGAAGATGCATATTGTGTTCTAAAAACAGAAATAGGGTGAAGGACATATATAACACAAACATTTATTCTGTGTCAAAAATTATTTCTATACATATATTTACATGTACATGCACTATGTAAAACGATTTCTAAATTAATCACACTGATTTCACATTACATTTGCTTTTAAACTACTGTTAACTGAGATCTATTTCTAGTCTGGATTTAAATTCTGAACTTTATAATATCCATGTGAGAGAAATCACTATCTGAAAGTGATAAACTATAGAGCCAAGAAAGGTTCTGTTTAGGAAAAATTCAGAAAGGATTACAACACAATTTCATAATTCTCCAAGATAACCATTGTGCAGAGCCTGAGAAACTAGGAAACATTCATTTCTAACCAAAGTTTTTCCTAATACCTAAGAATGTTAACTTTTTCTCACTATAACTTACCTTTAATCTACCGTTACTTTTAATTACTAGAGAGAGTGACAGGGACAATAAAGTCACAGAAAACCAGCTATTGCCGAATGAGCAGGCTGGCTAAGAGTACGTTCCAAGCATCACTCCAGGGGTATTTAAATTAGAATATTTGGCCTAGTTTTCCTTCTCAAAAGTATCTTGATGTATATCATTAAAATCTATGTGAAAAAAGCTGTTGTTTAATTAATTTTGCAGCTTGCTGAATACATTTAGATTTCACCTTTTCGCATTGTTTCTACTTATCTAAATAGAAAGAGAAGCTAGAAGGAAGTGATAGAGTTCAGAACAGAAAAATTGCAGGTTTTACTCAGTAGATTTTTGCTGTGTAATTGGACTTCAACACCCAGTGGAAGAAGCCGAGTAGCAAGTGCTGTCTTCCACCTTCTGCCCATGACCTTGGTCCCACTGAGGTGACAGTCAGGAACACAGACATAACCTGGGATCTCGGGGTCTCACTGTCCAGACACAGACCAGCGCCCCGGGTGATGGGGCACTGAGGAGTGGGGTAGGGGTGCACAGGGACATTCTGGTCAGTGTACGCAAGTGCAGATAAGCTGGAAGGGGCCTGCGCATGTGGGTATACGCTGAGTGGGTGCCCAGCAAGCCTGAGGAAGGCATCAGATGAGGCAGGACTCCGCAGACCCTGGCCGAGGCCCTGGGTGACGGGCCATAGAAGGCTTGGTAGAAAGCGCTTGTCCAGTTGTGTTTGAAGGGGTCCCTGGGTGCTGTAGGCACAGTCTAGACAGGAAGGGCTGCAGGGGCTGATGGGGAGTCTGCAGGGTCGAGGTGAGGGGAGGCAGTTTGCACAGTAGTGCTGGGGGTGGGGGTGGGCCATGGGCTTGGAGAGCTGTGAGGGCAGCCAGCTTATGTGCTGATGGTGATGGGGGTTGGGAGACACAGCAGGGCAGTCATGCTAGGAGTTTGGCCAGAGCAGTTCATAGCCAGCAGCCCTGTCCTGGAAATGGAAAAGGAGAGATGGAAGTTTCCAGAGGGAAAGTAGAGAGGCCAACATGGTGGCAAATATTATAATCCCAGCACTCTAAGAGGCTGAGGCAGGAGGATCACAAGTATGAGCTCAGACTAAGCAACAAAGGGAAACCCTGTCTCAAAAATAATTAATGAAAAAAATAAAGTAAAATAAAATTTAAAAAGGGCTGGGGAGGTAGCTAAGTGCAAAGCCCTGGGTTTAATCTCTGGTAAAATTTCAGTCAATCAATCAGTCCATGGTGGCAGCCAGTGTATCCTCTTCCCCTTGGGTCTGGCTATGAAGAAGTCAAATGGTTCGGCGCTGCCCAAGTTGGGGATCTGGTCTCAGCCATGCTCTGGTGGTGTGTGTATTTGGAGATACCAGGAAGGGCTCCTAATGAGAGATGGGGAGGGGAGGCGCCCACAGGTTGGAGGAAACCAGAGGGGTGAGGAGTGTTCTGAAAGTCCACAAAGGGGCACCAGGCATGGGGTGGGGACGGGAAAGTGCAGAGCAAAGCCCAGGTGGACAAGCAGTGGCAGAGTGCCCAGACACCCCAACAGAGCATCTCCCTCGGCTTCATTTTCCTGGAAAATGTGAGAAAAACCACTCAGGCCTGTTAGTTGTTCTTCATTTTAGTATAAAAGTGTGCATTCCAGCATGTGGCTCAAGGCTCCTGTCACAGAACAGAATCCATTTTCCTTAGAAGGCAGTGGAAGGTCCTAGAAGATCCTTCCCTGGTTAGCAGATTTACCCTCAGAATCGGGACAAAATGAAACAGGCCTCTGAAATGAGCTAGAGCTTTTGTATTGCTTGAAAGTGCATGCACAGTGACCTTTACAATCCACTGCTCCTAAGTGCTAGGCACAGAGAGATGTCTATGTATATTTAATGTCAACAAGTCCTCAGCAAATGTCACCCTCCTCGAGTGCATAGGCCCCTTTCGGAAATCATAGTGTGTCTGTCATTAAATGAAGAGGATTTGATTTGTAATAATGTCTTCTTTCCCCTCCAGCCCCCAGAGGCAATGCTGAAGGCCCTGCTAATAGACAGGTGAGTGTATTTCTCATTTAGCTTTGCTAGCTAGCAGGTTTCCTTAAAGGCAGCACAGCTTCAGTGTGACGTGGATTGGGAGGAAAGGGCACTTTCCAGGAGAGGAGAGGCAAGCTGTGCAGATGGCCCAGAACCTTCCCTGCTCAGTCCTATCTGATGTCTCCGAACCATTAATGAAAGATTTTACTTCATCTGTTGACTATTTTATTATTTTAAGATGATTTCTGAAATCTGCTTATTTTGCGGAAGCAGCCGCTCTGATTTCTTGTATCTTAAGAAGGTGGGGGAATAGGAGACACATGAACACCCCTTTCTTCCAGCACTCTGAATAAGCCACATCCCCACTCCTGCGGCTGTTTCTGTTTCAAGCTGTGTGTTGATAAACATACATTTGTGTTTCGGAGTCCACATCGCTGCACATACAATTAGAGGACACAATTTCAGTGATGCTGCCCAGCGCCCCATGCCAAGGCCTAAGCAGAGAGCATTTTCCAGGAGACTTGAGTGGATTCATTTTCCCTCCCTCAGAGCCAGGCAAAAGCCTCCTTTTTTTTTTCTGACCTGGAGTCAATTTGTTATTTATTTTGTCTGCACCTGTTTGATGTCAGGCTGGCTTTCCCTATGGCAGCCGCTGTTTTTGTTGTGGGTTTTAAGTGGAGACCTCCAACACGTACACCTTGGATGTAATTTAAAACTATTTGATTTGGGAAAGATGTGTGACTCATTTTCCTTTGTTCAGCAAATGTTTATGGTTTTAACTTTTTAAATCCCACTGCAAATCACTTACACTTGAAAACACAGCTGGCCTGAAAGCAATTACCAGCTGTGACCAAAGACTTCCCAAGGGTTGTTTTCATTAGATAATGCAATTACAGGCACACGTGTGCTCCGTTCAATTTTAAACTCCTCGGCTTCTCCCAGAGGGAGAACCAAGAGTGGCCTCTGCCACTTCCCTTAAGGTGCAGCCACAGGGGTAACAATTGGAGTGTGTCTACCCGCTGCTGTGACCACTATCCTGCAGGACAGGCTGCAACTTGCTGGCTGCGGCAGAACAGAAGACCTAAGTGTGATCTGAAAAGTAAAGTCCGTTTCAGGGACCATCATGAGGCACATCGAAGGCTCATAGGTAGTCAGAAATGAGCTGTCCTCCTTGGTCCCCATTAAGAAGGGGCCATGCAGGTCTTGAGACAAGACCTAACCATCATTAGCAGCTGATCAGTAATCTTACCCATAACTGATTACAACAAGACTTTCACTAAGAGTAGGAGTCACAGCATCTCTCTCCAAACTCCTCATTCTTCACTAAGGGAAATAAAAGCCAACCCAGAAACTGCCTAAATTTGAAAGCTGAAATATTTCAAATAATAAGACAGAAGAGCGGGTCAACTGATTGTGTAGCAATTGGTGCGTTTGGAAAACTAAGTCTAGGAAATTGTATGTTGCTCTCCCTTTCCCTTTTAAATTGCTTTAATTGGAAGTTAGGGTTCCGAATTATACCAAGAGATCGATAATACTGTAAACATACTTTTCATGTTGCATTTGTTCTTAGGTAAAGCAGTGCATGGAAAAGATGAAAAAAAAGAATTAAAAAATCAACTGTGCCTTTTTCAAATTTGAAACAAATTAGATTACAGAGCCGTTTTTGTGTAATGCGTTCCAGGTGGTGGGAGACGCTGCAGAACAGTTTATGGTGAATTTACAGTATTTGAAGGAAATATTGATTTTCTCAGTTGATGCGTTTTCCTGGTATTTTTGATTATTTCAAGGCTGAAAGTGTGAAGAATGTTTTCATGAAGCCTTGCAGCTAGGGCGCCCTTTCTTTTCTCACATGCTGTTAAGCACTGCTTCCCGGCACCTTTCCAGCAGCGGACCTCGCAGGTGGGCGGAGTACACTTCCTGATCGGACATCTCTTTGTTTTGTTTTTCAGCCCAGGAAGCAAGGATGAACCAACCGTTCACATACTCAAGGCAGTTCCTAGACATGTGGGAATCTCCCTCACCAAAGAGCAATTAAAATCCCAAACCAAAAACATATAGTATTTGCACTTTGTACTTTAAATGTAAATTCACTTTGTAGAAATGAGCTATTTAAACAGACTGTTTTAATCTGTGAAAATGGAAGGCTTCAGAAAATTAATCACATACAATGTATGTGCCTTCTCCCGACCTTTGAAAGCTGGAGACGCCTTGCAGTGCCTCTGAGCTGCACTTCTGCCTGAGATCCTTCCGCAGCAGACACCTTCTCCTTCCGGAAGGAGCAGCTGCAGCCCTCTGCCTCCGCCCCTGTCTGCTTGCCCAGCCCTGTAGCTTCAATTTGTAGCACACTGCAGTTACTGTGCACAGGTTGGCCTGTTTCTTGGGATTCTATGTTTGTTTTGTTTGGCTTCTCAGAAATCTCTCTCACACCACTAACTTCCAGCAATCAGGGCAGGTAGTGTCCTGGTAGGAAAGAGAAGTTCATCTACTTCGCGTATCCATTTCAAGCTTCTTAAGTCTGGCCATGGGCCTCCATTATTCATGCCATTAGATTTCCAGAGTGGCTCCTGCTGAGGCTCGGCACCCCGAGGGACACCAACTGCAGAAATTTGAGTCTGAGGCCCACCCTGCCCGAGAGGGCAGGACTGGCTTAGCTTGGTGGGCTCACCACCTGGCCACCTGCTTCTGTCTCCCACGTGGCTGTCCCAGTCCCATCCACATCTGGCTATGGCCTACCCTGACCCACTGGAAGGGAAAACTGTCCCCTGAATAAATTGCAGTTTCCCTAGAGAAGGTAGCTGCAGCCCTGATTGTGCCAGTGGTGTCACTTGGCACAAGGTGGACTGCTCAGCTTCCTGTAGCTCCATGCTTCAGGGGCAGCAGCACATGCCTGCGGTGGGGACTGTGTGAACGGGCTTGTGAGAGGAGGCTCAGGAACAGGGTGCTCACACTGAGTGACAGGACTGAGGTTAGTGTGCACTCCCCGGCCCTGTAGAGCCCTGGGAGGATGGACCCAGAACTCATCACAAGAGCTGTGTGCCCATCACATCGGAAACTTTTGGTTGGAAAAAATTCTTCGTGGCCTCCAGTCTCCCAACAGTGTCACATGTTTGATGTCCATGAATCTTCATGAAGATATTTCTTGAGGCCTTATGCTCACTTAGACTGTGTGAAGGTAAAAATCAAAACTTCGGAGTCCTAAACCAGCTATGTATTAGTGTTGTCCAAATGACAGCTACAATCTTAAATGTTTTGGATAATCTTTTATATTTCTATACTTCAAATTTAATCATTTTTCTTTGATTAAAATAAAGTATGCTTTCAAAACTGTATTTAGTCTTTTTTTTTTCCCAGCTGAGTACATTATTTAATCGTAGCCTATTTGTAAATGTGTCCGCTGCAGGGAAGTAAAGGTATGGAGTCTAGATTGAAGCAAGTCTGCAGCCCAGCCCTGTCTGCAGGCTGAAGGATTTCCGATGAGTCTTTAGGCCTATTTGGACCCTAGTTTCCTCCTCTGTAAAGCAGGGGTGTGGGTGGCACCTCCCGGGGCAGAGCCTGAGTTAACGTATGTGGCCTCCAAGAGCCTGACACCCAGGACGTGCTTTTGCTGTGCAAGGAAGTCACTCAGGAATGGCGGGCACAGCCCTGCTCTTGGTTTTTCCTGGGCTATTGGGTGCTTTGGTGCAGGACAGAGAAATAACAAAGCTCTTGTTTTAGTAAATGCTTTTCACTAAGTCATACAATTAAGGACCTTGAGGGTGACATTTACCTCATGCAATCCCGAGCCCCTGTACCCTGCATCCCATCCTTGTTTTGGTCCTTCTTGAGTTTCCCTGGGATCCCTGAAGTTTTTTTAACCATTGGTGCCCTCTCCTCCCTCCAAGTCAGTCTCCTCCCACACCTACAGTGCTGTCTCAGCTCAGGGAAGAGTGATCATTGTAAACCTCAGTTCTAGCACTGGTGATGTCAATGGTACAGGAAAAACTTCCAGAAGGAAAGGGACTTGGAGGGAAGATAGATGCCAAAGAGTCCTGATGCCCCTCGGGAAGGGAGAGCAACAGCTGGTCTTGGAGCAGATTGGACAGGACAGCACCCAGTAAGCTGGAGCATGCAAATGAGGCAGGCAGCAGAAGGATTGGTGATGGGCGCAGCGGGTTATTACAGGTCCTCAGTGCAGAGCACTGGGTCTGAAACCTGGGGCAGAAGTGTGTTTCCCTGACTACGCAGAGCAGAGCGTTCTGCACTGGGTGACTCCCTCCTGCATGTTTCCCTTCTCCTGCATCCTTGACGTGGGAGAATTTTAGAAAGGCACCGAGCTGCTCATACTGAGGAAGGTCACACCTGGGGTTTTATGTTTTGGAGGTGAAAGGTGTCAACGTTTGTGGAATTGATGTATAGAAATGACTCTTGTGATCCTAAACTACCAAGGAGAAAACTAAATGTAAGCACAAAGCTAGTCCAGAAAAATAGAAAGCATTTTCACAAAGCCAAGTTTGGGGGATGGTGATGATTGTGGTGGTGGTGGTGGTGAGAGGGATGGGTGATGGCCAGCGTCATGTAAATGATGGAGATGGTGATGGAGGTCATGGTGGTGCTGCTGCTGATGACAGTGACGGTAATGAGGAGGCTAATGATGGTGGTGGTGAGGAGGATGATGGTTTCCTCCCAAATACCCCACTCTATTCCATCTGAAAATCACTCTTGACCTCATTGGGTTGTAGGCATTTTGAGTATTTCTTCATTCTAAAAGTTGTATTCATTCTATTTTAATGTAATGTCAAGACAAGTCACCCCAAAACTCAGTAGTTGCCAGCAAGACCTGTTCTTGCCTGTGTGTTGTCTATGTTGGTCCACTATCCTCGGGTTCCTGCCTCTGGCCCTGGCATGACCAGGCATCAACTGATGCCATTATGAACACAAAGTTGTGTGTCAGGGTTGTGTGCATCACATGATTCTGAATCTCACCCCTAGGAGTGTGTAAAGGACAGGAAAGCTTTAGTCCAAACTCCTTAACAATGAACACCAGGCTAAACAAAATTGTATGTCTTAGCTATTTACAAAGGAAAAGCCCTAAAGGTGGCAATAAAGGAATGCTGTTCTTAGCTCTTGATTTGTTAGGAATTGACTTCACTTGTAAGAGACAGAAATTAGAAAAGCAAACCCTAGTGACTGGGCATACGGAGGTATTTTTCTCAGCTGACCAGGAGCACATAGTGGCCCCACCCAGACTTGAGATCTGTCTGCATCTTCAGGAGGAGCCTCACCAGCATGGCTCCCAGGTGTGCTGCGCTTCATGACTCTTAAGCCCATAGGACCAAGGGCAGAGAGCAGAGGGGAAAAGCTGAGTGGAACGCATGTCATGCGTTCTACTCTCCCAAAACCCAGCGAGTAGAATTCTATTAAGTATTGTTGGCCCCCAGTGCCTCTTCTTAGCACCTAGGCATTAGGTGCTCAGGGCAGGAGGCAGCTTTGCAGATTGGCAAGAGAGAAGGGTACTAGACAGGCAGTAGCCATGTTGCCACGGCCACCCTCTCACGTGTAATGACACATCTGACATTATTCCACCTTTGATATTTTGTGTGAAATAAATTATTTCTCCTGCATTTCCTGTGAGCATCGGATTGCTTCTGGAGAGTTGGTAAAGAATGCAAGTTAATTAAGTCATGTGCATTATGTGGCAAAAAGACTTTATACATCTTCTTGTTAATTCTTAACTGCAGAACACATATTTTGTTGCCTTAAGGTAGAGCTAAAGTCATACTTACTAAATAGAATCTTTTCTGTAGAAGATGGAATTTATAGATTCCCTACCAGTGTGGTTTGATGTTACTTTTTCTATATGTATGGTTATTAGCTAAGAGGAAAGATGGCTTTTATTTTTTCTAAAGATCTGAACATATATTCTGAATATTTTAGTTCAAACTTAAATATTCATGATTCCATAATACTATAATGGCTAGACTTCATTATTTAAATAAAGTCAAATCATTGATTTTTTCCACTTAAGAAACTGGCCTTCTAATTTGAGCAATACTTTTATTAGCTGAGCTCTGTAATAGCAAAAGGAATGTATTTCTAATGTCACATGTCTGTCCCCAGTGACCTAAAGCTCTCCTACCACCTCCATCTTTTTTTAATTTAGAGAAAAAACAAAACAGATAAAAGGGTAGAAATAATATAGAATTTCAAAAAACTAACAGGAAGAAATGAATAGTCAAAAATAACAGTAAGAAATCACTAGTTGATAAATTACATATTGTTATCTCAGAAGTAGTTGTTCAAGTTACAAAATTAAAGCATAAAAAATGGACAATCAAACAATGACAGCACAAACTATTCTGTTTGATGAACTGACAAAAACTTAGTAATATGGCCATCTATCTTGCACACTTAACAGATATATAGTTATATCCTTTAGAGCATTTTCTTTCCCTTACATTACTAAAATATCTATGGTCTTTTATCCAGAACATACAAAGAATTGAAAAATGTCAAGCGCCCTCTCCCCAATTCAAAGACCATCTCCAAAAATGGGCATCTGAGATGAGCACACATTTCTCAAGTGAAGAAATACAAGTGTCAAATAAATACATGAAGAAATATTCAACATCACTGGTCATTCAAGAAATACAATTTAAAACAGCATGGAGATTTCATCTCACTGCAGAAAGACCAGTGTCTATCTTTTAAGGCTTCCCAGGACCCAAGAGAACCACTCTCAGAACCACTCTTTCATCATATGAGCCTTCAGGCAATCATTGGATAACCAAGTCACAGGAATGATTCAGCGCTGCCCTGTTGTTGGCCGCTGTTATTGATACATCTCAGAGAAGAGATCAAAACAGCTGCAATCAAGGAAGAGTCCTGGAAGCTTCCAGAGAACAGCTGCTGTCCTGGTGGGATGAGCAGTCACGAGTGGCTTAGTGCTATGTTAGGTCACTTTCTCGCTGTCATTGCTTTGCTCTGATATCAGACATTTCCACATTTCTTAGCATTGAGTTATTCTCTTGCCAAATTTTAAACCACAGCACCACTTCCTGCATTCTCCAAAACAATTACTTCTGAACTTTCTATCTGTCTTTGTCTCAGCTGCTGGCATTGGATGATCCACTGTGCTCCACAGGGCTGGCAGAATGGCTCTGTTTGTCAGCTTTGACCCGAATAAGCAGTCACTGTCTCACTACTTCTTCCTTAAGTTTGAGAAACCATGTATCTACTGTATTTGTAAGGGGTCTACTTCTAGAGACCATGGATTGTAGTTTGGATGGGTATTCATTATGTCATCAAAATAGCTCTTAGCGGTCATCACTGTGCGACCACAGACTCACCAAGGAACTGTGTATACTTCACATGCTCCAACGAAGCTCTTCTTTGTAGGTTTAGTTTTGTATTTCCCTCTTAATAAGTCTATTTGTATTCCCTCTTAATAAGTCTTATTTTATAAAATCTCTCTTCTGTTTTCTATATTTTATAACCTGGTTGTGACACGGAAGTGCCATTTGATAATTTTGTGATGGGCATGCCATTTTGCACGGTCTTGAGACTTCCATGCCTGAGAGAAGTGTAGAGCTTGTCTTTGCTAAATGCTGAGCACGCTTGGGCTTCCCAGCGCCTGCTTCTTCACAGAGCATAGCTTGGAGGGTGTTTGGTCTAGTTGATGAAATGCAGATTGAATATGAAAAGCAAAATCTTTCATTTAAATAAAACTTGGAAAGGAAGACCTTTTAACGATCCCAGCTGGTTACCTTTAAGGTGGAGAAAAGCCTTGTGGATTAGTATCCCCTGGCAGCGAGTCCGATGTATTCTTATTTGATTATAAATCGGATGCATTTCCAATCAATTACAGCGCTTTCCTTTGGGAACTTTCCCTTCAGAGGCAAACCCATATGTGCTGATGGAGGCAGACAGGCCAGAACACTTCTCTGTCGCCGCTCAGGTGCCTTTCCAAGGGCTGCCTGCCAACATTCCTGCGTGCACAGAGAATACTGGATGCGTTCCCGGTCTTTCTTTCCCTTTTGCACCCATAAAGTTTTCTTCCTGAAAGTATTGTGTCCATTTCTGGCACAGCAGTGTGGCTCCATCCACATGTGTGGAATGATGACATTTTCAAGAGGCAGTTGGGAGAAGCTGTACTGAGCCCTTGGTGTACACTGAATATTGATTTGGGCCGGCAGGGTAGAGCAGGGCTACTGATCTAAGTTTCACTATCATCTTCTCCTAAAGGATTTTGTACTTTTTTAGGCGCCCCTCACCTCTGCATCCATATTCTCCCATGCTCACCCCTTCAGGACCACTTTCGGTCCAGAGCCTTAGGGTTTGATCTTTACTCTCC